CCCTTTTGTTATTGGTTTTTTATTTGATTTTTTCCTTATGAATATAGTCTGTTGGAATGTTCGGGGTGCTGCTAGCACTAAATTTAAGTCTACTATGTTGGATTTAATTCGGATTCATCGTATGGATATTCTTTTCGTCTGTGAGCCGAGAATCAGTGGTGAGAAAGCTATTTCTGTTGTTAAGTCTTTGGGTTTTCATTGTTTTGAGATTGTGGATGCTATTGGGTTTTCTGGTGGTTTGTGGTTATTATGGGATAATAGCAAAGTTCATGTGGAAATTTTGGGAACGTCAGATCAAACTATTTCAGCTTGTGTTTCCTGGAATGGTGGTCCTCCGTGGTTGTTTACTGGTGTTTATGCCAGTCCTTGTATTAGAAAACGAGCGAGTTTATGGGAATATCTCAAGTTTGTTGCAGATTGCCATCATTTGCCTTGGCTATTAGCTGGGGACTTTAATGAGATGTTGTCTGTGGATGAGAAGCTGGGTGGAGCTGTAACTTCTCGTGTGCAGGGGTTTCGCAATTGGTTTGACGATCATGGTATGGTGGATTTGGGTTTTTCTGGTCCTAAGTACACTTGGAGGAATAATAAAGTTAGTGAAAGGATTGACAGGGCCATTTGCATGATGAATTGGAGAGGTTTATATGCTGAGGCTCATGTTAGACATTTACCTAGAACTACTTCAGATCATAATCCCCTTAAAATCTCTCTGCAATCTTGTTTTCATGCTGCCCCTCATCTTCGCCCTTTTAGATTTGAGGCGATGTGGTTGAAGCATGAGAAGTTTGGTGATTTCATTAATAATACTTGGGGTAAGTTGGATGGCTCTGCTATGGAGAAGACCTTTCAGCTGGTTGCTCGTCTTAAACATTGGAATATTAATGTTTTTGGACACCTCCGGTTGAGAAAGGCCAGATTATTAGCCCGGCTAAATGGTATTCAAAAGGCCCTCTGCGAAGGGTTTAATCCTTTTCTCAGTCGGCTGGAAGTCTCCTTAATGGATGATTTTAATAAAATTCTTGAGCAAGAAGCTCAGTTTTGGAAGCAAAAGTCTAGGGTTCAGTGGCTTCAGGAAGGGGATCGTAATACGAAATTTTTTCATCTCACCACTGTGATTCGAAGGCGTAGAAATAAAATTGAGAGTTTGAGGAATAATGATGGTATGGTTGTTGCGACTGCCCTAGGTATTAAAGCCTTAGCTGTTGAGCATTTTGCGTCTCTCTTTACTCAATCACACTTGGCTCCTACTGAGTTGGATATTCCTAATCTGTTCCCTCTGATTAGTGGTGAAGATTTGGATGTTTTAACTAAGGATGTGGAGTTAGATGAAGTTAAAGAAAGCCTCTTTGGTATTGGAGGCCTTAAAGCTCCTGGGATAGATGGTTTTCCCGCGTGCTTTTATCAAACCCAGTGGGGCCAATGTGCTACTGATATTTATGCTATGGTGACCAAGGCTTTTACTGAGTGTTCCTTTCCTGCTAAGTTGAATCATACCCTTATCACGCTGGTTCCTAAGGTTGATAATCCCCAGACTATGGTGCATTTTCGTCCCATTAGTCTTTGTTCAACTCTTTATAAAGTTATCTCTAAGATCATTGTGGCTAGATTGAGGCCTATTTTGCCTGTTCTAATTAGTCCTAATCAGGTTAGTTTTGTGCCTAGAAGGCATATTACAGATAACATTCTTATAGCACAGGAGCTTATGCATAAGTTCAAGGTTTCTAAGGGCAAGAGAGGGTTTATGGCTTGGAAAATTGATCTTTCTAAGGCGTATGACATATTGAACTGGCATTTTATTGAGGTGGTGTTGGCTGAATTAGGTATGCCTGCGGTTTTAAGGAGGTTGATCATGCATTGTGTTTCTACTGTTAAGTATCAGATTTGTATTAATGGGGAGCTCACTGATTCCTTTGCTCATATGAATGGTATTAGGCAAGGGGACCCTTTATCCCCCTATTTGTTTGTGATGTGTGTTGAAAAACTTTCTCACATCATCTTTGATTTGGTTCAAAAAGGTAGTTGGAAAGCTGTTAAATCGTCTCAATCTGGGCCTGTGGTTTCTCATCTCTTCTTTGCGGACGATCTTATTCTTTTTGCTGAAGCTTCTGTTAAACAAGCTCGAATTATGAAGGGTTGTTTGGAGCTTTTTTGTCAAGCGTCAGGACAAATTGTAAACTTTGATAAATCTGCTGTTTTTTGTTCCTCCAATACTCCGAAGGAGGTGGCTAAGGAGATTAGTTGTATTTGCGGCTCCCCTCAGACTAGTGACTTGGGCAAATACTTAGGCATGCCTCTTCTTCATACAAGGGTTAATCACACTACTTATAAGAAGCTGCTGGATAGGGTGCACAGTCGGTTGGCTTCTTGGAAAGGCAAACTTCTCTCGTATGCTGGTCGCGCAACTTTAATCCAAGCTGTGACTTCCTCTATTCCCATTGATGCTATGCAAACTACTAAACTCCCTGTGAGTGTTTGTGATGAGCTAGATCGGTTGAACAGAAATTTTTTCTGGGGAGGCAGTGAAAAATGAACCAAAGTTCATCTTTGTCAGTGGAATTTGGTTTTTCGTCCTAAGTGTAAAGGAGGGTTGGGCTTTAAGAAGTCTGCTGCTATGAATCAGGCCTTGCTTGCTAAAATTGGTTGGAGAATCCAGAACAAGGATGGGAAGCTGTGGGCTAGGATTTATAAGGCTAAATACCTTAAAGTTACGTCAATTTTGGACCCTTCCCTAATTCCAAAGCAGGTATGTTCCTCCACTTGGAGGGGTATTTTGCATGGGGTGGAGTTACTCTCTAAAGGTATGGTGTGGAGGATTGGGAAAAGAGACACAGTTAAGTTTTGGCAGGATAGGTGGCTGAATGGAAGACCTCTTTTTGAACAAGATGGGATTTTGCATGTTGGGGATGTGACCTGCAATGTCTCCAGTTTTTTAAAGGGGGATTGGTGGGACATTGACAAATTAAGGGCAGTTTTGGATGAGGATTTGGTTCAGTAAATTATCTGCGTTCCTGTGGGAGTGACTGGTGATGTTCCTGATGCTCAAATTTGGGGGCCTGCTGCAAATGGTTTGTTCTCTGTAAAAACTGCCTATACTCTCTTGTTTCATGGTAGTGAGTGGCCTTCGTATGACTGGCACTTCTTGTGGAAATTGAAGATTCCCCCTAAGCTTCAAATTTTCCTTTGGCTGGTGTTCCAAGGAAAAATCCTGTCTAATGAGCAGAGGGTTAGGAGGCATCTGGTGGATGATCCTGCCTGTAACTACTGTAATTGGCCAGTTGAGTCCATTTTGCATATTTTTAGGGACTGTGAGAAGGCTACTAGTGTTTGGCAAGCTATGCTTTGTCCTGGTGCTCATCCCCATTTTTTCCAGATGGATTTCCACCCTTGGCTTCGTTCTAATCTTTTGTCTAAAGCTATGTGGGGTGATCATGTGCCATGGCCTCTTGTTTTTGTCTTTACTTGCTGGGTTTTATGGAAATGGAGAAACAATCAGATTTTTAATATTGACAATGAGGTCAGTTATGAGCCTGAGAAGATTATTGTTGCTGCTGTAAGGGAGTGGTATACGGCTAGCCAAGTTGGGGGTACTAAGGCCCCTAAAATGCCTCTTTTGCTTACTTGGGAACCTCCTGAGCTGGGTCAGTTTAAGCTTAATGTGGATGGGTCTAGAAGGTGTGCTTCAGGCTCTATTGGTGCTGAAGGAGTGATTCGTAATTCCTTAGGGGATTGGGTCAGTGGGTTTGCTGTGAACCTTGGTAAGGGGCAGATTCTGGAAGCTGAAGTTTGGGGCTTGTTTTTTGGCTTGCAAATTGCTATTGCTAAAGGCATTCGTAGGCTTTCTGTGGAAATGGATGCTGCTACAGCTGTCCTCCTTGTTCAGCAGCATTCTAGGCTTGGCTCCCATCCTCTAGCTTCCTTGATTGCTAGATGTTGTGCAATGGTGAGACAAATTGGTGTTTGTTATGTGAGCCACATATACAGGGAAAGGAATGCTGTGGTGGATTGTTTGGCTAAATGGAGCCATAACCTTGATCTTGGGTTGTGTGTGCTTGATGCTGCTCCAAGCTGGCTTGGTTCTGTTTTAGTTGATGACTTATTAGGAGTTCCTAGAACTCGTTGGGTTAGTTTAGCTTCTGGCTAAGGTTTTGTTTGTTTTGGGGTTTGACCCCCCCTCTTTACCAAAAAAAAATGTACGCGATCAACTCCAATGGGCTTAGAACCCTTGGGCGGGCTTGATGTGGGCTTTTCATACTGCAAAGGAAATGATGATCTCAATATCAAATTTGTCACACTATATTTTGATTTGGGAAATTCACTATTATACTCAATATATGAGCTCAAATTATAAAAAAAAAACCCTATATGAAATGGACTATAGAAACATACCCAAAACCCATTTACAACATAACAAAAAGGCTTTAAACTTCTTTTAGATTACAAAACTGCCATTGATTTCTTAAAACAAATTCAACCCCAAAACCTCATAAAAAAACTCAAAACACTCAATAAGGCATCAAAGTAATTTAATAATCAAAATTAAATTCAATAGAGTCAGCTGTCATTTTTTGGGTTTATTTATAGAAATTAAATGATGTAGAGTTTATCTATAGTATTAGTGCTAAGAATGAGTATATAACTAAATATCTTATAAAATAAAGTTAAGTGTTTGATTTCCCATGCTTCAACTACCGCCAATTTTCATATTTCCCTTTTCTAGAAAAAACGCTTCCCCAACAACAATAGTATGATAGAGTAGAGTTAGGAAAGATACTGACTGAATACGGAGCATCTTCTCCGATAATAACATGATTGATTGATTGATTGATTGGATTAGATTTCTTTAATCAAATAAAGACAAGGTGAAAATCATGTCACTATTGTTTTTTATTGTATAAACTTGAAAAAATATAATAAGATTCGTGTACCTATGAAATTTAGTCAAAGTCAAAGTCAGTCCTTGTCTCCATTAATTTTTCTTCTCTTTTTTGTTGTTTAATGAAAAAATGGCATATAATATCGGTGAATCCGCGTTCCACCTTCAAGCCGCGTCGCTCACTCCCGGACCTGGTGCTGCTGCCTAGACCCCTCCGCCCTACCCAGTCAACCCATTCTCACTTCGCTCCATCTCATTTTGTTTTGGTTTTTTCCCGATCCCATGTATATATACATAGCCCCATGGTCCTCCTTAGTCAATTCAACGATCTTGACTACATCCGCGCATCTCCATTTTTAATTATTTATTTCTCTAAGTGGTAATTTTGCTATATATATTATTCATTTCGCATTGTTAGGAGCAAAGACTCTTTGTGCTAAACATTATTGTTGGTTGGTAATCATATTGTTATTGGCGGCAATTGCTGTCAACAACCACAACAACAAAAGTAAAAAGGAATTGGAGCACCAATCTATCAGTTGCCGTTTTCTTTTTTCAGGTTACACATTGGAGTAACAATAATTAAAATGATGATTATAGTGTCAAAACCATATAGAATTCAAGATAAATTAAAAGGGAGATTCATTATTATACCTAATATAAAGGCTCAAATTATAAAAAGAAATCCTATATAAAATGGACTTTAGAAACACACTCAAAACCCATTTACAATATAGCAATTACAAAACTGTCATCAATTTCTTAAAACAAGCTCAACCCCAAAACCTCATAAAAATACCCAAAACATTCAATAGGGCATCAAAGTAATTTAATAATCAAAATTAAATTCAATAGGGCCATCTGTCATTTTTTGAGTTTGTTTATAAAAATTAAATGATGTAGGGTTTATCTATATTATTAGTGCTAAGAATGAGTATTTGACTAAATATCTCAAATTAAAATTAGGGTTGAGGAATTAGACCGCTCAACAAATTACAAGCATGCCGGAGGAGACTACAAAGGTTGGAATTACTTAATCTCCACGTGAAGCCAATTTAATTAATTAGATTGGAATTACTTATGCTGTGTTCCTAAATCAGCGCAAGCAAAGTATCTAGAGTATATATGGACGTCGACCACGTGGCGTCATATTTATATATGCATGCCTACCTTGTATGGTACGTACATTTAAGAGAAGAAGGAAGTGACTGAATCTATAGTCAAAAGTCATATTTGACTATAGAGTTACATTATTTCTTACCTAGATTCAGGACTCTTTCTTCACTTTTTTTTTTTTTTTGGCGAGGAGCTTTTATTTAAGTCAATTCTTCAAATTACGTATACGGCCAACCAATTTCTGGTAGAGTGGTTAGATTAATAGCCATCATAGCAAAAAATTCTTCATAATTTCTTAAATAGTAACTAAACTAATTAAATTAGATGACCCAAAAGATAATCTCACTTTTAACACAAATTCCTTGGTTGTCAATTCATAGTTATTTTCGCCATTGTATATCATCTCTACAAAAGTATTTTTGATATATTTTTACTTAATTTTGAAGGGTATTGTAAATTTTTATTTTTTATTTTTATACAAGCGATAATTGAAGGAATGAGGAATTAAACCTAGTATTTTAGATATATGAATAAATACTCTTAATCACTTATACTACAGGGCCTTACATGATATTGCAATACTTAATATATCTAGAACCATCGAGCTAATATCACCAAAATAATTATCATTAATCATTTGAGTCTTCCTCCATTGACTGACCAAAATTTCATATGAACATTGGAATGTTTGAAATTGGGTGCAATCAGGTAAAAAAAAAAAAAAAAAAAGGTATCCAAATTCAAATTCAAATGTATTCCTCAAAAAATGTCAACATGAATAGTAAGTTTATACGGCATGTCGACAAAGTTTATGAGATATAGACGTAGTAATGTCACTCTCCGGCATCCCACTCATCTATTTTTGTTTGGTTCATTACCATTAGCCCACCGGCCTACGCGCCTATTCTATACGACACAGCAACTGCACATTGAATCTAACCATACATCTGCAAATTATAAAAGACAAAATTATAATGTTTAATTTACTTCTTTACTTAGCAATTTAGGATATAAATTTCTCTTTTGCTTTGATATCGTTATTCTACTCCATTCAATCACTTAGGATAATACCTGGGTCCTCATCAGTCATGATCTTATCGTCTTTATCTCAAATAATACCGTTACATGTGTCGTTCTTTCTAATATTTAAATAAATGTTCAGTTACTAGGCTAAGTTGGATGTTCAATAATTTTTTTTTTTTTTAGGTGAGACCCAAGGGTATCCACCGCCGATAGCAGTGACTAATCCCTTTCGTCGCGGGAGCTCTCCCAATGGAGGTAAACGGCTGGCCACGAAATGCGCTCCATTCCCATGAACGGGGAATTACACAACAAAAATTAAAGCAAAAATGAATTCAGACAAGAAAATGGAATTAATCTTTAAATTTTTATTCCGTCTAAATGGAGCAAAAATTAGTTTTACATTCTCGAAGATAAGTCTTATGTAATTTACACTTTACAACTGAAGTTGCTTTGAAAAAAGGAAAATGAAAAAAAGGTGGCACTCAAATCCTTGGTTGCAGGAATGAGTTGATCGGCATTGGCATTGGTTTCCTACAACTTTCTCAGAGTTTTCCTACCACTTTCTCCATCGCGTCTGCAGCTCATAAAATACCATTATCATCATTAAAATAATAATAAGAAGAAGAAGAACCCGCATCATCTGTATACGTATATCTCTCTCTCTCTCTCTCTCTCTCTCACTCAGTCTTCCGTGTGTGCGAGTTTTGAGAGCCAGCAATCCCCGCCTTCCTGTCGCTAATTTGCTTGCCTTATTTTTCTTCGCATTTCTCATGCTCTTGACTTTCTCAATTCAAAGTCGCCTTCGTATTACTGCATGCTCTCACCAGCCATAAGCTCCTCTCTTATTTATACTTCCCAAACACCTTCCATTTTAAACCCAAAACTTCTTGCTTCAGCTCCAAAAACCAAAACAAAAATAATCTCGACTACCAATCTCTTTCTCATTTCTGTTAGTTTTGTTTGTTGTTAACGGATTTTTTGGATACCGGGGAGAATTGAATCAGATTTCAATGGGGAGTCGGCGTCACGAGGAAGGGCTGATGACCTCCTCGGAGAACAACTCGGACACCGAGTCGACTCAGTTGTCGACAGCCGCGGGAGAAAGCGGCCCAGCTGAATTTGAAAGAAGAGCTTTCAGCGGCCCGCTCGGTGAGCCTCACAATAGCTACGCTCCTTCTTCATTATCTTCCAAATCCACCAGAGCTTGGCGGCGGATTAAGAGCGCCAAGTTCGACAAGTCCGCCGTGGACAGCAACCGCACCCCCGGCACCGACCAAAACGAAGACGATGCTTATGTGGAGATCACTCTCGACATCCGAGACGACACCGTCGCCGTCCACAGCGTCCAGGCCGCCGGCGGAGCCAGCAATGAAGACTCCGAGCTGGCTCTGCTGGCCAAGAAAACTCTTGAGGGGAAGAAATCGTCGTCGTTTCGGTCCTCGCTGCTTCGCAACACGTCGTCGCACATCAGGCAAGTCTCTCAGGAGCTGAAGCGCCTGGCTTCCTTCTCCAAGAGACCGTCTAACGCGAGGAGATTCGACCGCACCAAGTCTGCCACCGCCCACGCTTTAAAGAGCCTCAAGTTCATCACCGCCAAGACCGGCGGAGGCGCCTCCTCCTCCTCCGGATGGGTTGCCGTCGAAAAGCGCTTCGATGAACTTACCGTCAAATCCAACGGCCTCCTCCCTTCTTCCCTCTTCGGGGAATGCATAGGTCCGTCCGTACATCCACAAGTGTTTGATGTATTTTCACTCAAATTAAGTAGGAACGGAAAGCTAAATTAGTTCAAGTTGTTTTTAATCGATTAATGTGTTCGATCAGGGATGAACAAAGAGTCGAAGGAGTTTGCAGGAGAGCTTTTCCGCGCGATTGCTCGGAGGCGTAACATTAGTGGTGATGCCGTGAACAAAGCTCAGCTCCGAGAGTTCTGGGAGCAAATTTCTGATGAAAGCTTTGATTCGAGGCTCCAAACATTCTTTGACATGTACTACACTAATTTGATTTGATTTTTATGAAACAAGAGGAAAAGAACCCCAAAACCCAAACCAACAACTACACAACTAAATTTATTTTATTTTTATCATTACTTATCTATTTAATTATCACTTACTATATTTGTTAATTTTGTTAATTATTCTCATTAAAGTAATTGGACCATAATCAATGTACGTGTACAGGGTGGATAGAGACGCTGACGGTAGAATCACAGAGGAAGAAGTCCGAGAGGTAGGTGAACCGCCGTTTATTGAGGACTGGCCGGTCAAATTTTTAAGATAGCTTCCTAAACATGCATGTAATTAAAATATCTTTTTTAAATTAATTTTTTTTTAGTGCAGATCATTAGTCTGAGTGCTTCTGCAAACAAGCTCTCCAACATTCAAAAACAAGCTAAGGAATATTCAGCTTTGATTATGGAAGAACTAGACCCGGATGGTGCTGGCTACATCATGGTATGCTGGTGTTGCTGCAACAATGCATGAAACTCGGAAACTCTTTTTTTTCAAATGTACAAATACTTTGTCCAATTTTCTTTCCTTGCATTGACTCCGTAACTATTCAAACAGGTTGAAAACTTGGAAACTCTGTTGCTGCAAGCTCCAGTTGGCCAATCTGTCAGCGTAAACGAAAGCCGGGTTCTGAGCCAACTGCTGAGCCAGAAGCTGAAGCCCACACAGGAGAACAACCCAATCACACGATGGTATGAGAAGACCAAATACTTCTTGTTAGATAACTGGCAGAGAGTATGGGTTATGATGCTGTGGCTTGGCGTAGTGTCCGGTCTCTTCGTCTACAAGTTTCTGCAGTACAAGAATAAGGCAGCATTTGAAGCGATGGGCTACTGTGTTTGCATTGCTAAAGGAGGAGCAGAGACGCTTAAATTCAACATGGCCTTAATTTTACTACCCGTCTGCCGAAACACCATCACTTGGCTCAGAAACAAGACCAAATTGGGCGTCGTTGTCCCTTTCGATGACAATTTAAACTTCCACAAGGTAACAGAAACGAAATGTCACTCTGGTCGTACTGAGAATTCAATTTGGTCCACAAAATTGAGTCTGAAAGTTAATTGATCATGCAGGTCATTGCAGCTGGAATTGCTGTCGGGGTTGGACTGCACGCTGGGGCGCATTTAACCTGCGATTTCCCACGACTAATTCATGCAACTGAAGAAGAGTACGAGCCTATGGTACCGTACTTTGGGGAAGAGCAGCCTCCAAACTACTGGTGGTTTGTGAAGGGGGTGGAAGGGTGGACAGGCATTTCAATTGTGGTGTTGATGGCCATAGCTTTCACATTGGCCACTCCTTGGTTTAGGAGAAACAAACTGAACCTGCCAAAGCCCCTGAAGAAGCTCACAGGCTTCAATGCCTTCTGGTATTCACACCACCTGTTTGTCATTGTCTATGCTTTGCTCATCGTCCACGGCATTAAACTCTACCTCACCAAGGAATGGTATCAAAAAACGGTCAGTTCCTAATTCAATTCCTGAAGAATAAAAAAAACCCCCAAAATTTGATTTCTTTCCCATTTGGTATCTAAGCTGCATAATTGCGAGAGTGATTTTGCTTTTGTGCGGTGGCAGACATGGATGTACTTGGCAGTCCCAGTTGTCCTTTACGCTTGTGAAAGGTTGATCAGAGCTTTTCGATCAAGCATCAAGCCAGTCAAGATTCTCAAGGTAGATTAATTAAAACTTGCTTAAGTATAACTTTTAGCTCAAATTGTATCATCAAATTTCTAATTAGTTGTTTGACACATTGCTAAATTCATCATTGAAGGTTGCTGTTTATCCGGGAAATGTGCTTGCACTGCACATGTCGAAGCCTCAGGGCTTCAAATACAAGAGCGGGCAGTACATGTTTGTCAACTGTGCTGCGGTTTCTCCTTTTGAATGGTAGGCAGGCACATATTTATAATCTGGTTCACACAGTCTTCTTCTAATCATGTCCAATTAGACAAAAACAAAGCCACTCTAAATCTAATTATGTCCTAATTATATGGTCAACAGGCACCCGTTTTCCATTACCTCAGCACCTGGAGACGACTACCTGAGCGTCCACATTCGAACACTAGGCGACTGGACGCGGCAGCTCAAAACTGTTTTCTCCGAGGTTTGTTGTTCAACAATTCTTATTTCTTAATTAATTACATGAACTTGTTAATTTCAAAATTAATCTCAGTATTGTTTGTTTACATTGGTTAATTAGGTGTGTCAGCCTCCAACTGGTGGGAAGAGTGGCCTACTCAGAGCTGATAACATGCAAGGAGGAAACAATCCCAGGTATATTTTAATTAGATACACACACATCTTTACAAATGTTTTTTTTTTCTTCAAAGGTTGATCTTAATGTGATTAATTGGTGGAACAGCTTTCCCAAGATATTGATAGACGGTCCATACGGGGCACCAGCACAGGACTACAAGAAATACGACGTAGTACTGCTAGTGGGGCTTGGAATCGGGGCCACTCCCATGGTGAGCATTGTGAAGGACATCATCAACAACATGAAAATGAAGGGCAAGGAAGACGACGACTCGATATTAGAGTCTTCCCTAGAAATGGGCAGGGTCAGTGGCAACTCATCAACCCCTAACCATAGCAGCAGCGGCAAGAACAAGAGCAACAAAGGGTTCAAGACCAGAAAGGCCTATTATTATTGGGTGACGCGGGAGCAAGGCTCGTTTGAATGGTTCAAAGGGATCTTGAATGAGGTGGCGGACATGGACGAGAAGGGTGTCATTGAGATCCACAACTACTGCACCAGTGTTTATGAGGAAGGAGATGCCAGGTCAGCCCTCATTGCCATGCTTCAGTCCCTTCACCATGCCAAGAATGGTGTGGATGTGGTGTCCGGGACACGTGTCAAATCCCACTTTGCCAAGCCCAACTGGCGCCAAGTCTACAAGGATATTGCTCGCCACCATCCTGATAGCCGAGTGGGTGAGTACAAACTTCCTTCACCTCACATCACCTACTACTTTAGCCCACCTTCTTTCGCCTACCACATTATACTTTGAAAAATTGACAAAAATTCATGCATATTCAGAATGTTAGAGTCGTGCTCATGCGGGCGCTATTCATGCGAATTCTACATTCGTGGACGACTGGCTCTAACATTCCTCTTAATTAAAACCATAATCATGACGAAAATGATGATGGCATATGTGTTTATGTATATCTATGATTTTGTGCAGGCGTGTTTTATTGTGGGGCACCAGCACTAACAAAGGACTTGAAGGAATTGGCTTTGCACTTCTCCCGCAAGACAACCACCAAGTTCGAATTTCATAAAGAGAACTTCTAATTGTAATAATAATTATAAACAAAATAGCATGCCTTAATCTATGCAGACCAGCGGTGGTAGAAAGCCTCCTGTATATCCCTAGTTTAGCTGATCTGATGCATATGTAAGAAGTGTAGATTAGAAAGTAGAGAGATATTTTGCGCACACAAAATGGGAAATAAAAGTAAGGAAGGAAGGGAGGTCTCCACTCAACCACATGGGGTGGTGGGTGTGCAATAATGCAATAATACCTACCACAGACAGCAGCAAGCAAAGTGTACCGTCTTTGGTTTGGAGGAAAGTGGAGAAGAAGGGACCCGCCGCAAAAGGTGACCACCGATAATGGATATAGTCTTATAGTATGGCAGCTGTGACACATTAGATGATTTGATTCATCACCACAGCAACCCACTGCATATACCAAAACTGTTCCTTTTTTGTCTTTTTTTGTTTCTTTTTCTTTGGGATTTTTGTCTCTTGGATAAAGATTTTGTCCACATTATTTATTGGATGTCATTCTTTCAAATGGAATGCTAGCAACCTTCTCCTTTCTTCTCATGATCAGTGTTATTTTCCTTACATTTCAAATAATATCATTAAAGCATCACACAAACTAGTCTTTATTTTCCAAATTTACCCTTATTGAATGTATTAACTCTTTTTAATAACAAGCTAGTTGACATCCAATAAATAATGTGGACAAATCTTTATCTAAGAGACAAAAACCCAAAGAAAAAGAAACAAAAAAACAAAAAAGGAATAGTTTTGGTATTGAGAAGTATAATGCCGTTTGAGTATTCTAGAAGAGTTCTATTTGTTTCTGATGATGGAGAAGTTTTAATTAAGGTCATTCATTCCGTTTGTGCACTAATTCAGATAGCAATTGGTAATCCGCACATTGTTTACAAGTTGGCCCTGTTTCATATTTTCTAACGATCCACACTAGAGTATCACCAATCGATATGTTATATTGCCACATGAACATGAAATATGACAAAAATTGAAAGTTAACTGAGTAGTCAAATCCTACATAGATTTGAAAGTTGGAAGAGATATGTCAAAAATAACATATCAAAAAACTTGACGTCAAATATTATTTTAGTCATGGACTCTACTATCATTTGCTCTATTTTAAAACTTTATGAATCATATGAGCCATATTTGATTTTAAAATATAATAAAATAATATAATATTTGGCAGTTCGGGTGGAGTTAATTTTTGTTTTAAAGAGTCAAATTGCCACATAAGCCATCAAATTCAAATTTTACATTTTACATTTAACATCTCCCTTGAAGATGCTCTTACACATCACGAATGCCACAATTTTTTTTTAAAATAGAAGCGATCATCTGAATTATCTAATTTATATAAAGTGGTATTCAAAGTTGAACGTCTTGATCAACTGGAATATGCTTAACATCACAAACTTCACAAAATAGAATTTGGTCTCTGATTTGACTTTCTGGTGTTGAAATTGAACAAATACTTGTCTATTCCTTGGTCAATGATTCAGGCATGATGCTTTTTCCTTTAGTCTCAAGTCCTAACCTACCCCGCCCAAGGCCCCAAAGGCAAACACTAAGCTTCCTTTTTGACCATTTTTATATGCTTGTGTATGAGTCATGCGTAGAAATTGGTTCAAAAGTAATAATAATTCCTTCTTCAAACTAATTACTACCTTAATATGATAATACTTTCACCATTTTTATTTTATTTTGTGCAAAGAATAAGTACTCATGTCACATCAACAAAAAGAGCACATTATCCTTTACTTTTATCATCATCTTGCTTCCATTAATTTCCAAATGGACCACAAATTCAGAAAGGAGCATTTCTGAAAAATAATGTGCAAGTGGCAGAATATATCACGGTAAAAGGGGCACTGTGGGTTTTGGGGGGCTATTCAATTCAACGTTGCCTTGGTTGGAAGTGGACTATGTTGACAAAATCCAAAAGGGTTGTTAAGGTGGCCAAATCTTGAAATGAACAAGTGTGTCAATTTTGTGCAACACAAATGGATTTGGTTTGAAAATTTTCAAATACCATTTTGAAATGGCAAAAGCTGGCTAGCATTTGGGTTTCCGACATGTGGTTGGTTGGTGGTATTATTAAAGATATGTACATTTCAAAAGGAAGATCATCTTTTTGACATCCTTAAATATCACTCTAATAAGATGTCATTATAAGATGAATTCAGGATTTTACAAAGAAATTAAACGGCATATACCCTTCAAATACATCTAATACATATAGCCCCAACATAGATTCATCCTTATAATTGTTTAAGTTCCAAGAGCCATGCTTTCAATTTGTGGTGTTTAATGGTAAAACAAAGCATTTTGATCTAATTATGAATAATGCTAAAAAAATAAAATCAATGACCTTCGGTTCGTAAAGATTCATGCGTTTTCTGATTAAATATATATATGAATCATCCGTAAGGCATTGACCTTGACCCTCCTATAAACTGTGTTCACATTGTGCTTAATGATGATGGGTGCGACGGTTTGAGTATAAACAATGCTTTGTGTGGAGATTAACAATTGTAATCAATACCTAATGCCAATCATGAGGTCATAACCCCACCCCAACCTTAAAATCATCATGCAAGCATGATCATTTTCGTCAACAGCAGCAAAGTCACATCAAGAATCGAGAAAAACGATGATCAATGCACATTCTGCCCACAAATAACAATGACCAACTATTACCTAAATATAACGATAATGATGAATGCACATCAATGCATGATGTCATGTAATATATGTAACGGGTATAATACATATAAAATACATATGTATATTATTCAGCAAATCTATTAAAAACATACGGAAAATATTCAGGCATTATACGGGAAAATTAATTATTTAATTTAATTTTTTGTAATTGTAGTCGTTTTTTCAATATACCTCTGGATAGCACTCAAAGACACGTCACAATGTGATAACGCTAAGAGCACTTCCACCCTAAAGCAAAGTCGGCCCATGGCATGTGCGAGCTGTGCGACTAAACACAACCTCCAAAAATGAGGGGCCTCCAATTTTTATTTATTTATTTTGTCTGCAAGCATTATATTATATATAAATAATGTTGCATTACAATTTTACAATTATATATATATATATATAATTATTACTATTATTATAAGATTGCTTTACAATTCTTCAAGCACTTTTTTGTTCCCAACAACCTCACTCTTTTCTCCTAATCTTTTTTTTGGTTGAATCCGTGTTCTCCTCTTTTTTATTTAAAAAAAAAAAACATTTTTCTCATCTTCTTCCTTCTACTATTTCCATTTTTTTTTTTACATGTTCCTCATATCAACATTTTCATTTTATTTCCATTTTTGGCTGGCTTGGTGTGGTATATCTGACCATTGTTTTTCACCATTTTTGTCTGACATCTGTTGTTTCTCTCGCCATTTTTTTTTTCTTTCCATTTTTGCCTGACTTGGTGTGGCTTGGTATGACATGTATTATGTTACTATATTAGAAAACATCATATGGAATTGAAAATAGATATAGAAGTCAATTGAGTGGATGTGAGTATGTGAAAATAGATGTAATTCATGCCACTAATGATGATTTTGGTTTAATTTATAGAAAATTCGGTATAACTCCAAAATCGAAAATAGAAGTTGGATGCAATCCTTGTATTTGTTGTTGTTGATACAAGTCCTTTGACTTTTGTGCCACGTATAATTACATTCCTTTTTTTTTTTTGTTGATATTTACATATTATTTTTTTCATTTTTAAATTACTTTGTTATTCCCATCATGCCCCTAAAAATTAAATAAGGTAAGAAATTTATTTTTGAAATAATTAAGTAAGGCAACAAATCACGTCTCCTATAATTTTTGAAATAGCTATTATGTTTCAGTCATGCTCCTATATGAACTCTTTGCCACAACTTTTGTTATTCACTGATTTTATTTGTTTGTTTTCTTCTTTGAAAATACAATTCCTCACTAATATACTCTCATTGTTTTACGTTTGATTTAGTTTAGCTCACTTTTTTTCTTCATATTTTTGTTGCTGTAAAGTTAATTCCCACCTAATATCTTTAATTAAGATACAATTAACCATTAACACATGTGGGTTTTGTGTTTTCACCCACATCATTTTCGATTCCTTTGTTTCTTGATAGTTAATTATCTTCTAGTTTTTCATATTTTCCCCATATTTTTGTTGTAGCGTTTTACGATTATTGGTTGTATCACTCAAATTCACACATTTTATCTAAAATCTACATGTTTATCAGATATAGTAGAGTATACTACTTATGTGTTAGGTACATTTTGTTATATTTACCAAGTAATTAGGTACATTATTTTATATTTACCTAGTATTTAGGTACATTATCTTATATCTTCCTAGTATTTAGGTACATTATGGTATATTTACCTAGTAGGTACATTATCTTATATTTACCTAAAAATTAGGTATATTATATCATATTTACCTAGTAGTCAGGTAAATATTTGTTGGTAGGATATCATCAATAATTCTTCTACTTTCATTGTTTTATATGAATTTGTCTTAGGGCACTTCCAGCAGTCAAACCCTTGCCATGGCAAGCGGGGGGCTAAGGCTGACACTATTCACGTGAATAGTGTCTGCCCTTGCAAAAAGTAAGTTGCACTTCCAGCAGTTGCCGGGCAAAGGGCAAGTACTATTCAATTTTTTGTTTTTTTCACAAATTTGTTTACCTAAACAATTAATTTGGACAATATTTTCGGATAAAATTTTTGGGTTCGTACTTGTCAATACTTGAGTAAAAAGTGAATAATAGTAGAAGTAGAAGAAAATGTATGAGGATTTGGTGTTGAAAGTGAAGAGTTTTGGGTATTTTTTTTTAAAAAATTCGATTTTTTTTCATTTTTTTATTGCACAAAAATTGGCTGCCATTGGATTGGAGGAAAAATTCTGATCGGAGAGCTCAGAACGCGACACTTGTCAGAATGCTGTTGGCGATACTGTAGCATAGCACTGTAGCGGATGACGTCAGCAGCCTTCGGGCAAGCACTCGAGCTGTTTCTGCCTTCGGGCCAGCCCAGGCAGGTGGACCCCAGTAGTTGCCCGGGCTGGACTTTGTTGCTGGAAATGGGTTTTGGCGTTTTACCCCCCCC